AGGTTGGTGTGAGGGGAATGAGGGAGGTTGGTGAGAGAGGAATGAGGGAGGTGGTGAGTGGGGAATGAGGGAGGGTGGTGAGAGGGGAATGAGGGAGGGTGGTGATAGGGGAATGAGGGAAGGTGGTGAGAGGGGAATGAGGGAGGTTGGTGAGAGGGGAATAAGGGAGGTGGTGAGAGGGGAATGAGGGAGGGTGGTGAGAGGGGAATGAGGGAGGTGGTGAGAGTGGAATGAGGGAAGGTGGTGAGAGGGGAATGAGGGAGGTTGGTGAGAGGGGAATGAGGGAGGTTGGTGAGAGGAGAATGAGGGAGGTGGTGAGAGGGGAATGAGGGAGGGTGGTGAAAGAGGAATGAGGGAGGGTGGTGAGAGGGGAATGAGGGAGGGTGGTGACAGGGGAATGAGGGAAAATAGAAGTCCAACGTTGAAGGTTTGTGGGTGAGCGTGGGAGTATTGAGAGGATCAGAGGATAGACAGGGAATGTGGGATGATAGTGGGGAGCTGTGGGAGAAGAATGGGGGATATTAGGAGGATGAGGTAGTGTAGAAGGATGTAGAGAGAGGGAGTGAAGAGAGATTGTAGGAAGATGGTAGGAAAGGATACTGGAGCAGTGTGGAAGGATGTAGAGAGAGAGAGAGGTATATAAGTAAAAGGTTAGTTGTATGTGACAAATGCAAAAGGAATTAGATGATGAATGGAGTACAAGATAGATAATGTAGAATAAAGGAATAATAATAGGATGAGCAGGTAGAGGAGGAGAAGAAGGATGAGGAAGATGAGGAGGTGGAGGAAGAGCAGGAAAAAAAAAACGAAGGGAGTGGCGATGTTAAACTCAAACCTCGCAAACTAGAAGAGCACACGGCACTGTTGTATAAACACACACACACACACACACACACACACACACACACACACACACACACACACACACACAGGTGGAGAGAGACAGGATGTTACAGAGATGGGACACAGCAACAAGGCGTCACAGTTGGATGTTGAGACTCAGATAAATCACAGGGATGTTAGGAGGTATTTTTTCAATCACAGAGTTGTCAGGAAGTGGAATAGTCTGGGAAGTGATGTAGTTGAGGCAGGATCCATACACAGCTCTAAGAAGAAGTATGATAAAGCTCATGGAGCAGGAAGAGTGGCCTAGTAGAGGCCAGTGAAGGGGCAGGGCTAGGAGCTGAGACTTGACCCCTGCAATCACAACTAGGTGAGTACACACACAAACACAGACACAAACATACACACACTAACTTCCCCACACCCCTGCTTTACCCAACATGTCATAAATTATTCACGTTATCTAGCCTACTGGATGGATGCTGATCAGGAGGTAGCTAGCAGCCAAGTAAATGGCGCAGCTCACAATGTTAGGAAGCGTAAGTGTCGAGTGTGTTTAAAGGTTCATGGCCTCAATACTAATGGTTTCCTCAGCAAGCAAGGTAGCTCTTCTGGTTCGGGATGTCCCCCCATGAAAATTAATGACCCTCAGCCACTTTAAAACCTTGAACACACACTAACAGATCTCATCTCATATGATATTAGATTCATTCAAAGCAACAGCTACCAGGACCCTCCCACGTATTCCCAAAGCAGCCCGTCCACACGTAATTGAGAAACTCACAGACCTGAGAAAAGTAAACGAAAGTTCCATTATCCTCAATGTTCTTCCAATCATCAAGGTATGACACACTGTTCTTTTTTTTTTGTAATGATTGCTTTACCGCGCCGGAAAATTGTTGCAAGTCGCTAGTTTCAACGATCATTGAATCACTAAGAGATTTTCCGAAAACTGACAACTTCGTTAGTCTTCCTCATTAACAAAAAATGAAAGAGGCAGAACGCTACTCGTTCCCCTGAAAGTGAGAACATCAGAGTCCAGGTGAACAAAAAATATGAAAAGGTCAACACTGTAGGTGGAATCAGGATAATCAGCAGCGAAGATATAGTTGTCACCAGGGATGCTGACACTGCTTAAACACTGAGAAAAAGGAAACCCTGCCAGGGAAACCATGGGCACTAACAGTTCTAACACTCCAGCGGCCAGCAGCAACAGCCTGGTTGATTAGGCCCTGATCCACCGGGAGGCCTGGTCGTGGACTGGGCCGCAGGGGCGTTAATCCCCAGAATACCCTCCAGGCAGACCCCAGGCAGGTAGACCCCAGACAAATATTGGCACCTAGCAGGAGCTGGACAATGTTGCCTCATACACCGAGGCACCAGACTTATTTTCAAAGTTATTTCATCAAATCCTGCCACATGCAGTGGACAATGAAAGATTTGAAATGCTTAACAATACACAAACAGGCGAAATTATTTACAAACGTTATCTACGCCCAAAGCAAGATTCGAACCTGCAAACTCTGTATCAGAGTACACAGTATTTTACCACCCTTAGCGCCGACTAAGCGCCCATATTTATCTGGTGTCTGGTTTCGTGGTAAAATACTGTGTACTCTGATGCAAAGTTTGCAGGATCGAGTCCTGCTTTGGGCGCAGATAATGTTTGTAAATAATTTCGCCTGTTTCTGAATTCTTGAGCGCATATATATATATATATATATATTATATATATATATATATATATATATATATATATATATATATATATATATATATATATATATATATATATAAGGATAGAGCCCACCTCCTGGCAGTGAGAGCCTCTCATGCTGGGAACTTTCTGTTAGCTGTTCCCAACTCCAGCCTTGGCACACGCCTCGACCCACAGACCATCCGCATTGGTGTTGCCCTTCGACTTGCCGCCCCTATTCTCGCCGAACACAGGTGTATTTGTGGCAGTGAAGCAGCAGACCGATTCGGGTACCATGGTCTTGTGTGCCGTAAATCCGAGGGAAAGATTGCAAGACATGAGGAGGTTAATAACATTATCAAGAGGAGCCTCACAACAGCTGGATGCCCAGCAGTAAGGGAGCCACCCCAACTATGCAGATCTGATAGCAGCCAGAAGCGTCCAGATAGTATCACCTTTCAAGCCTGGACAGATGGGAAGCAGGTGGTGTGGGACTATACATGTGCATCTACCTTGGCTGATACCTATCTCCAATACACCAGGGAGGAAGGAGGGGCAGCTGCCAGCTTCAGGGAGTCCCAAAAGTCTAGAAAATATGGAGAACTTGCCCATCATTATATGTTTGTTCCCATAGGCTCAGAGACCCTTGGCTCATGGGGAAAGAGTGCATCTAATTTCCTTAAGGAGCTGGGAAAAAGACTCATCAGGGTAACTAGGGATCCCAGGGCAGCTAGTTTTCTGTTCCAGGGGCTCAGTGCGGCTGTTCAAAGGGGTAATGCCTGCTGCATTTTGGGCACACGCCCCAGCTCTGAGGAGCTGGATGAGATTTTCGCCTTATAATCGGTGATACACACGTAACAACATGTACCGTATATGCCACCTTTATATTAACAATGTATCTCTTAAATCTTCTGTGCCATATTATGTAATAAAATTCCTATTGGTAAAAAAAATAGTTTAAAAGATGGGTGGTAGGGGAAGTGGAATATTCAAACGGCTTCAGGAAGAAATCCAAATATTCCTCCTTGAAGCCTTTTTATCCACTTCTCCGAGGCTATGGGTCCCACAATTTACACCAGAGGTAGACCCCATCCTATATATATATATATATATATATATATATATATATATATATATATATATATATATATATATATATATATGTATATATATCGTGCCTAATAGATAAAAACTGGTCAATTAGCAAGAACTCATTTTAAATTAAGTCCTTTCTAAAAAATTCTCTTATACATTAATGTTAATGTAAAAGTTTAGAATTTTGCTCTAAAAGAATCTTAGAAAACTTACCTAACCTTATTATAACAAACGCAATTTATTTTAGCCTAATCCAACTAAATATATTTTAGATACGTTTACAATTATTTAATAATAAACAAACACAATGAAATATATTTTTTTCGTTACGTTCAGAATGATTTTGGCGAAATTATTGCATACAAAAATTTTCGCTTGTCCTATATGGCCAGATGAGCGTTGCTATTTAAGCCAAGATCGCAAGTTCTGCCTATTCGGCACGATATACATATCGCAAACACTACGTTTGGAGTGACTGTGTAGTGTACAGTTGGATGTAGAAATTATGCATATTGTAAAGTGTGGCACAGAGCTAGTGTACTGGTATGTATGACAGTAAACCAAAACACAATACACAGGGTGCAGCACAGAGTTCACATACACTCTTCAGTGTAACAGAGATATCACAGACAATACACACGGGAGTGTGACAAAATCACGTACACTGTACTTGCTGTAACACAGAAGTGTGTCACAAATCACTCACACTGTACTTGCTGTAACATAGAAGTGTGTCACAAATCATATACACTGTACTTGCTGTAACACAGAAGTGTGTCACAAATCACTCACACTGTACTTGCTGTAACACAGAAGTGTCACAAATCACTCACACTGTACTTGCTGTAACACAGACGTCATATACAGTGTATGTGGTGTGTCACATATGGAAGGGCTGTAAAAACAAAACACTCAATTTCCACAGCAAATTCTGCAACAATATGTCAGTCAGAATTTACGAGGCTTCAGTTTGTCACAGTCTTGTCACTCAGTGTGAGATTTGAAGCGGCAATTGGAATGCGCTGACTAAATTAAGCTCACTCCAAGTCAATACTTTGTTTACACTATGTGTCACTTAATATTTATACAAGTCTTTCTCTTCCAACTATAGTGAGTAGAAGACTTGTTGCAGAATGAGCTTTAACTGAGGCAACGTTTCGCTCTGTGGCGACCGTTATGTTATGTATCACGTGATGCAGCTCTACATAGTGGAAAACAGTATTGAAATATAAGCTTGTTTCGCAAAGTGAGTTCTTACTCAACTGTGGAATTGTTTACCCACCCATCCTTCCTCTTTCCCACCCTCCATCCCTCTCTTCCTCCTCTTCTTTCTTTTCTCCCTCCCATCGTCTCTGACTAATACCCATCCTTGTTGGTCAAGATATTCTCTACTTACCTAGGACGACCATGAAGACGGAGCGTGTTTCAGTTCTGAAGGACGGGTGTTCAGCGATAACCTCGCACTTGTACTCGCCCGTGGCTGCCGAGGTCATGCTAGTGATAGAGAGTGTAACTTGCGTCTCCGACCGTGACACTTCCTGTGGGGCAGAGAGTGCTAGTGAGTGGAGAGAGTGGGAGAGAGTGGGAGAAGCAGGCAAGGTGAGAGTAACAGAAACAACACATTTAACAACGTACAAGAGTGTCCACACTATAGTGTACACCGTCTAAACTCACTGAACTTAAAAGGTGCAATATTGTAAATAAAGTTAAACAAGATTACTCGGTGAAATAATTTAAACATAAGTAAATCGCATTTAAAACAGACGCCAATCGAAGTGAAGTTTTACTGGTACATAAAACTCGAATATCTTCCGGGAAGTAACACAATAAACAGTGATGCTGTCAGTTCAATTCAGCCGTGCACGAGCAAGATGGCGCCGTGGCTACAAGACAGAAATACCTTGTCAGTTAGGATTTTGAGCGGCGAGAAATCCTCTGAATGGAGAATACGTTTATTTAGGTTTAAATACATAAACAAAGTCTGTAAAAAAAAAATGTGTGATTCTTGAAGCAATTTGACTATGTACTCATTTTGTCTTGAATGAAAGAGGTTAGTCTTATTGGAAATTAATACTAATTGATTATATAATATATATATATATAATATATATATATATATATAATATATATATATATATATATATAATATACACACACAAGTATTTGTAAGAGAAATACAGTACTTTATGAATTTTTATTCATAGTAAAAAAAGGCTTACGATTTTTTAGAATAATCAGAAATAAAAGGAAAAATTTATTTAATTAGAAATGTAGAATTATAATAATCTATGTTATGCCAAAGAATGTTTATCAATGAAAAAATATACATTTAAAAATATATAAATAATTTATAGAAATTGGAAACATCGTAGACTATCATATTAATCAAAGGGAGAACGATATTCTGCCTATTTAATTCTAAAGTGATATACATCCATTTAATAAAGGTAAATGCAGCGTATATTATGCATGACAGAAGTCAGGAGACACGTGAAGGGTAATGCACCATTAACCACCCAAGGCAGTAATGAACTATAAGTGCGAATTTAATTAAGAATTATGATAAGTAATTTGTTTCCCCACAATATAACGTCATTCATGTTGTTTACTGTGTATACATACATTTTTTTTTTAATAAACCATACGTATCCCACCAAAGTTGAGTGATCCAAAAAGAAAAAGTATTTTCTTTTTGCATTTAGTAATTTGAACAGAAGGGGGTTCTCAGCCCCTTGCTCCAGGCATTTTAGTCGCCTCTTTAGACACGCATGGCTTACGGAGGAAGCATTCTTTTCCACTTCCTACTTCCCCATGGGGAAGTGGGAAAGTATAGTAGAAGAAAGTAGAAGAAATCCTGGGCGAATGTGTAAGTATATATGCATGTACATGCATGTGTATTGTGACCTGTATGTTAGTAGAAGCAGCAAGATATACCTGTTATCCAGCGTGTTCATGAGACAGAAAAAAGACACCAACAATCCTACCATCATGTAAAACAATTACAGATATACATACATTTTATTTTTTTTTATTATTACACTGGCCGATTCCCACCAAGGCAGGGCGGCCCGAAAAAGAAAAACTTTCACCATCATTCACTCCATCACTGTCTTGCCAGAAGGGTGCTTTACACTACAGTTTTTAAACTGCAACATTAACACCCCTCCTTCAGAGTGCAGGCACTGTACTTCCCATCTCCAGGACTCAAGTCCGGCCTGCCGGTTTCCCTGAACCCCTTCATAAATGTTACTTTGCTCACACTCCAACAGCACGTCAAGTATTAAAAACCATTCGTCTCCATTCACTCCTATCAAACACGCTCACGCACGCCTGCTGGAAGTCCAAGCCACTCGCACACAAAACCTCCTTTACCCCCTCCCTCCAACCTTTCCTAGGCCGACCCCTACCCCGCCTTCCTTCCACTACAGACTGATACACTCTTGAAGTCATTCTGTTTCGCTCCATTCTCTCTACATGTCCGAACCACCTCAACAACCCTTCCTCAGCCCTCTGGGCAACAGTTTTGGTAATCCCGCACCTCCTCCTAACTTCCAAACTACGAATTCTCTGCATTATATTCACACCACACATTGCCCTCAGACATGACATCTCCACTGCCTCCAGCCTTCTCCTCGCTGCAACATTCATCACCCATGCTTCACACCCATATAAGAGTGTTGGTAAAACTATACTCTCATACATTCCCCTCTTTGCCTCCAAGGACAAAGTTCTTTGTCTCCACAGACTCCTAAGTGCACCACTCACCCTTTACCCCTCGTCAATTCTATGATTCACCTCATCCTTCATAGACCCATCCGCTGACACGTCCACTCCCAAATATCTGAATACATTCACCTCCTCCATACTCTCTCCCTCCAATCTGATATCCAATCTTTCATCACCTAATATTTTTGTTATCCTCATAACCTTACTCTTTCCTGTATTCACTTTTAATTTTCTTCTCTTGCACACCCTACCAAATTCATCCACCAATCTCTGCAACTTCTCTTCAGAATCTCCCAAGAGCACAGTGTCATCAGCAAAGAGCAACTGTGACAACTCCCACTTTATGTGTGATTCTTTATCTTTTAACTCCACGCCTCTTGTCAAGACCCTCGCATTTACTTCTCTTACAACCCCATCTATAAATATATTAAACAACCACGGTGACATCACACATCCTTGTCTAAGGCCTACTTTTACTGGGAAATAATTTCCCTCTTTCCTATGTACTCTAACTTGAGCCTCACTATCCTCGTAAAAACTCTTCACTGCTTTCAGTAACCTACCTCCTACACCATACACCTGCAACATCTGCCACATTGCCCCCCTATCCACCCTGTCATACGCCTTTTCCAAATCCATAAATGCCACAAAGACCTCTTTAGCCTTATCTAAATACTGTTCACTTATATGTTTCACTGTAAACACCTGGTCCACACACCCCCTACCTTTCCTAAAGCCTCCTTGGTCATCTGCTATCCTATTCTCCGTCTTACTTTTAATTCTTTCAATAATAACTCTACCATACACTTTACCAGGTATACTCAACAGACTTATCCCCCTATAATTTTTGCACTCTCTTTTGTCCCCTTTGCCTTTATACAAAGGAACTATGCATGCTCTCTGCCAATCCCTAGGTACCTTACCCTCTTCCATACATTTATTAAATAATTGCACCAACCACTCCAAAACTATATCCCCACCTGCTTTTAACATTTCTATCTTTATCCCATCAATCCCGGCTGCCTTATCCCCTTTCATTTTACCTACTGCCTCACGAACTTCCCCCACACTCACAACTGGCTCTTCCTCACTCCTACAAGATGTTATTCCTCCTTGCCCTATACACGAAATCACAGCTTCCCTATCTTCATCAACATTTAACATTTCCTCAAAATATTCCCTCCATCTTCCCAAATTTTACCAGAAACAAAGTTTTAAGTATTGTGATATTCAGAATGAGTTAAATATAGTGTTTACTAGAGATGGAACTATTCCAAAATATTTGCCGATATTGATACCGATACTTTCGATCGATACCGATACTATTCCTCTCCTCCTCTGTTCTATGTAATGTGTCCAGCACATGTTGGTGTACACTTCCATCCCGGTTTGCTCAAGTCCATTCTGTCTCCGCTGAAAACACTTCCTTAAATCTCGTGTTGAGTTCCTCACATACATGATGACTGACCAAGAAACCTGCGGAAGTGTTACTGAATGCTGCCCTTGCTCTCAGCTCACCATCTTAGAAAATTCTCTCAATATCAGGTTCATTTAGCAACTTCCGAATTTAAGGTCCTGTGAAGATACCTTCCTACAGTAAGGTATCATTAAATTTAAGGTCCTGTGAAGATACCTTCCTACAGTAAGGTATCATTAAATTTAAGGTCCTGTGAAGATACCTTCCTACACTATAGTATAATTAAATTTGGAAAACCATTCTTTCAGAAAGGTAAGCCCTACACTTCGTCTAAAGTTTCAATGAAGTTATTAATGAAGACTAGACTGATGCGTTAAAGAGGAAAATGTCCTCTGGATCGACTAATGGCTTGTGCTAAACTTTCTTCACGCCTGATGATACGGTTCTTGAGTTGGCCACGCATGTTGACTGTAGTGTTCCTTCGTATCTCAAGTGTGTCACAAGCACAGAAAACAGCAGTACTTTCTAAATCCACATTACAATCCCTGCAATAAACCAATTATTTTTAGAACATCACACAAACTGCTCATATTCAATTAGAGTGACAGGTTTTTGCATTGTGCCGTGTGTTTTTAGTTTCTAGCGAGAGCTAATGGCAGACTTGGTAGGATGTTGCTACTGTGAACCAGAGTGCCTTCAGACTTGTTTTCCTTGAATCAATGAACAGATGCCACATAGCAGGTTCATAATGTTTACCCAAAGAATCAAAATGTCCACTAACATCGTAACAGTAACGTACTGATTAATTCAGTTTAAAGAAAGTTTTTAGGCTTTTCTGTCGCTTTTTAAACACAATGATTCTTGTGTCTAGGTGAGATAAATTCCTCAGGCAGAATCTTGAACCGAGTAGCTCTAACTTTTCCCTGGCTCAATTAACCTCACATAAAAATTTTAAGGCCATTTTTACTCACTAGATGTGGTTCCTCGTTGTTGACTCCAGTCAGTTCAAACTCGGAATCTGAATAAGCGGCTTGTTCATTATACAAGGGAAAATTATCTTTACTGGATGGTGGAACTGCAACATTGAAATCCTCGGAATGCTCAACCTGTTTGAGTGCAGAAGGACGTTCTGGACATGTTGTGAATACGTTTTTCTTCTGTTGAAAATCCCGACACCCTTGTGATAGAGAAACAAAAATCAGTTGCGCAATCCCCTGGATCCCTCCATATCATCTGTACTGCAAATGACATGCGTGAGCTCCTTCTAGCAAACAACACGCGTAATGAGTTGCAGCAAATCACAGAACAGCGATGAGGTGCAAACAGCTTGTCCTGATCACACCAAAGTAGTAGAAATAGACTCCTTCCATAAGAGGAATGATGTTTCGGTTCTGC